CTTTGTGGGCTCAAGATGAGCTTGGCCCATAATGTTGGGCTTGGACGTTTTAGTGGGCTTATCTTCCAAAATGTATCCGCTTTATCCATTTAACCGGGTCCAGTATAATATGCTATATCAGGACCAATTTCATCACAATATGATGCAGAATGTAGATGAGCATGAAAAAGAGTGGGGTTGTAGAAAGTCCACAAAATCAGCCCGATATCTAATCCACAAGCGGTTATGCATTCCACTCCATTACTCATAATCTTGAATGTGCCTTTCTAATTCTGAGTTGCTCTCTATCTCTTAGGTTTTGGCAATTCACGATTGAAAAAGATTTGGAGAAATTATATATCAAAACCTGTAGGAAACTGCCCTAATCTTTGGGTGAAGGGAGTGGATAGGTTGCGTCCCGAGCTATGTTGTTGTTGTGTCGAAATGGGTGTCGGTTGTTGGGAGCAAGGATTTGCTCGTTTTTTGGTTCTTTATTTTTGGTTGTGTTTTTTTTGTTTTAGTTGTGGGTTTTTTATGTTTGTTTTGTGGTTGCTTATTCTCTTGTTATGAGCTCTTTATTTTCTTTTTAGTCTTGTAGTGCGTGTTGTAGTATTTAGGCTGTGTTGATATCATTTTCAGTAAGCCAGATTAAGTGACATTAATCCGTTGATTGAGATCAGTATAATGGCAATTAGGGCTCATGCAAGCAAGTGACACTTCCATCAGCTTCAAGATGACTACGCAATGAAAGATTCAGCAAGAACTGACATCTTCACTAGTTGACCGATATCACATGTCGGTCAACACATGTCGGTCAACACATGTCGGTCAACACATGTCGGTTAATATATGTCAGTCACAACATATCGGTTATAACTGGGTGGACCGATATCTATAACATGCCACCTCAGCATGGTAAGGCGGCGGCAACTCAGCATAACTCATCATTACATTTATCCAAGTGGCAAGCTGTCAAGAGAAGCAACTAAGGACCGCCTTTGACCTTTCAAAGTGTAATGATTATTGTACAGATAAATATTGTACGTAAATATAAAAGGGAAACGGAGAATTCCCCAAGCACAGACAAGAATAATACTTTACAGAAAAATTACATTTCCAGTTATAATATACAAGCTTTCAGCATTGAACACCTAGCTTTTACTTCAAATACACTCCAATTTGGTTGTTGTTAATTTCCATTTGACAACAGGCTGGCTTGTGTAGTCTTCCTATTTCGACTAGTTAGTCGGTTTTGCGTGTTTTAGTCAATGAATCTCCTATTTCGGAAAAAAAAAAATAAAAAAAAATGGCAAGATAAATTGGTATATCTATCCACTTGCTATAATCTAAAACAAGTTTCTTGAATCCGATAAAAATATTATTTATTGAAAATTTTGAATTGTCATATATACAGTTGCCAAAAGCTATCAAATAGGAATTAGCTATGTGTTTTAAATAATAGATATAAAAAATAGGTAATAATAATCACGTAATATTTCATAGAATATTTATTTATTTTGAGTAATAAATATTAACTTATTCGAAAATCTATTTCTGAAAAGAATTAAAACGCAGAATTGGTATTAGCATAATCATCCATAAACCATAGCAAAAAAATAATATATAAACTATGGTATTATGTTGATCATCGGAGATTTGATTAGTCATAAACGACAAATCGAGTTTGTATTTCTTGTCTTCTCTTTGTTTTTGTGTCGTTTTATTGTTCATTGTGCTTATGTGATTTTCGTTCTTGTCATGCATTTGGCTTGATTCCATTATATAATTATGTATCCTTTATCTCTTTCTCTTTATTTTTTCCGGTAAGCAATGAAAACAAAGCAATATTGCTTTGTTTTAAGTATGAGAGAGGTTTTTGGAAATCGTGCATGCTTCTGTGGTGGATAGTTCTTGAATTTTTATGTTTTACTTTTGCTTTTATTTTTTGTTTACTTGATGAAACGAAATAATTTTAAGATTTTGTGTGTTTATTGTTGGCCCTGCCATATTATGTATGATGATTGGTCAGTATTGCTAGTTTGATGTTGAGAAAATGTGTCTATCTCATTATGAATTGTCGTTCTATGTGTTTTCAATTAATAGACCCCCGGTAATTCTAAGTTAATTGGAGATTGTTAATGTGGTACAAACAATTTAGAATCTCGTCATGATTTTTTTCCATTGTAATTCTCGACTGGTTTGATACTTTGAACTTGTCTTCTTTAAGGATTCATATGTAAAAGCTCATGTACGTTGTTTAATCTCTATAAACATATCGTGCCGTGTTGATTCGATTGCATTTTTGTAATTCATTGTGTTGTAATGATTTGTTTCCCGTTCTTATAAAGAAAAGAGAAGAAAAAGTGAGTTTGAAGAGGAATGTACGGATTAGACTCTACTTGTCCCAAATCATCTAGTTGGATTGAGATAATGAGTATGGAATACTGGTCAAGGAGACTCAAAAATAAAAAAGAAAATAAAACCCTTGAGGGTACACATAGATAATAATCATCTGGAACCTTCGTATGAAAAAAGTGACTCACAAAAAAAAAAAAGAAGAAGAAGAACAATGAAAAAAAGAGTGAGAAAAATTATCTTTTGCCATTGATCTTATTTAATTATGTATTGAGTTGACTTGTGGTTCCCATGGTTTTGCTGAAAACTTTAAGTGTTGGGGACCTGAAGTACACATGCGTTGGCATGTGTAGATTTGTAAAAGTTGGCTTGTGACAAGTCGGCTATGTGAGGAAGAACTTTGGATTTGTGTTATTTTGTATGATTCTAGATTGTAGGGGAGCATAATTCCAATTCTAACGATGTTGTTTGCTTGAAGACAATCAAAATTTTAAGAGTGGCAAAGTTGTTTGATGAGTTTTTGTTGATATTTTATGTACAAGATCCAAGAGACAAGCACTTCATTTTATATATTGGTCGTCATCAACGAACTTGGTTATTTAGTGTGTTTTCTTAACTCGTAAGATATAAACAGGCACGTGCATACAATAGCTGCTACTTTGATTCGCTAAAAGTGAAATACATTCTACTTGGCCAATAGTCTTCGTGTTTTGGTTAGTAGTGTTGTGTGTATGGTGTGTTGTTCGAATACAACGTATGCGTTTTGATGATGTCTCCAAAGTAAACTCATGAAGGATTATTATGTTTTACTCTGCTGGTGGATTAAGTTTCAACATAATAATAATAATGATTTTAGTGGTATTAGCTTCGGGTCCAGATGTCGATTTATTCTTGATTGTCAGTAATCTAATTAATTGACAAACATTATATCTTAAACGCGGGGATGTTATTCGGACAATTATAATTAGAGTCTTGAATATAATCTGGGGATGATAAGATAGTGCAATAACCGTATGTCCGATTTGATCATGATTTGTGTTAAAATTAGACTAATCCAGACCGTGAATACCCCGACGTGTAGTTGTATTCCTTAAAATTAGGTGTCGATACCGTGCACCGAGTGTTATTCCTCAAATTAGGTGCCTATCGACCCCGTATTACAATTGTGTGAATTTGTTTCGAAGAAAAGCCCTAATTAGCCGGCCCTAACTAATGCTNCTGGGAGATTTAGATAAATAAATCACTTCACCTATCCCCAATCCCAAATTCTAGGGCTTCCAAGCATGGGTGACGAAACTCCATTGCCCCAATCCGCAATCCAAATAATACAGTCTCTTCTAACCAGAAAAGAAGCTGCTCGGACGGCCACTCTGTCAAAATCATGGCGCACCGCGTGGCTGACTAGCCCACACCTCGAACTCGATGAGAGCGATTTTGAACGGAAGTTTAGTTATGAAGAAGAAGA